ATATATATTTTACTTTACGTGTGCTAAATTTCAAAATTTACTTTTTTTTCAATTTTTTGTAGTTTTTTTCCTAAAATTCTTTCATAAAAAGAAATTAAAGTTATATTAAATTTTAATAAATTAAAAATATTTTGCATATATACTACTCTTAAATAGAAAACCGAAAAATAGAAGAAAAAATATAATAAATTTTTTAATCATATATTATATATATAATAAAAAAATAATAAATTACATACAATTTATAAATAAATGAATAAAATATATCTTTTAATCTTTCACAATAATATCGAGCTAATTCATCTTTTAATTTTTTCACCTGATAAAAAATTAAGTATTAATTAATAAATAAAATAAGAATTTAAAAGACATGGTAAGATGAAAAGTCAAAGAAACATATATACATCAGATCATATAAATTTAAAGTTAATAAAATAATGTTAAATGAAATAACAAACTCAAAGATAGAAATTAAAACAATTTTTTTATAAAAAAAAATTATATATGTAATAATTTCAATAGGAAAATTATAGAATAAATAATACGAATATATTATAATTGAAAACATAAAATAAAATATAATTTATTAATACATCTCAGAGATACAAACACTACTAATATATCTAAAAATAATAATGAGTTTTGCTTATGGAAAAATATATAATAATGATTTTATATCTTCTTCCTAATGGGAAAAAATAATTGAATAGATACCCACCTACAGAAGCTGAATTTTTCATCACCCACCAAAGGTTGATGCATGTCTCGTAATTTTCTGGATAACCGCATTTCCCTTTTTTTGTTGGTGGATGTAGCTGATATTTTGGTTCTACCTCTAGCTCATTGACTAATATACCTTCCAAAAGACAAAACAACGAAGTTAAAAAAGAAATTGTTTAACATTTTTTTATTTAATAAATATTTTTTCGAATTTTTCCTCTAATTTGTGAAAATTTGAAAGTTCAAACTGAAATTATTTGTAGGTCGGCGTACACTTATGATAATTAATTTTAAATAATTACTAATAAACTTGTACTTTTATTGTAATTAATTAAAAAAAATGTGTGGTAAGTGTTATTATTATTTTTATTTTTATTTGTAATAGACACTTACCGTGGTAAACAATTGTTTCAAGACGTCCAAGGCGGCTACTACTTCTAAAAGCGGAAGTCTTACTTGCGAGGAGATGAAGAGGAGAGAATCCACACTCGTTCACCCAATTCACAAGATCTTCATATAAATGAATTATTTGGAACGCCAAATCTGTCAAATAAATTACATAAATATACTCAAGTATGAACTGTGTATACTAAACACTTCATTTGATGAGTTATATGCATGCATGAAATTAAACAATGAAAACATGCATGCGTACGTGCTCTTACCAAAATAGTCTCCAGCAATAGCAGAATGAAGAATGGTGTCACCGTCATTTCTCCTACAGTTTGAATAGTAGTTGTTGGCAACCCTGATATGAAAGTAATGGAGGCATAGAAAAGCTTGTTTTCTGCCATGGAGAGCAGCGAGAAAGAGAGGGGTCTCTCCATCAACGTTCCGAACGCTCAACAACGAAGCATCCGCAGAAGCAATGCACTCGCACATCTTCACGCTCCCCATTGAAGCCGCAAAGTGCAAGGCCGTGTTCTTTCTCTCATTCTTAATTCCCAAAGCCTCTTTGTCCACGGAGCAAATCAGTGTCACAAGTTGCTGCACGACTTCGTCTTGACCATCGGTGATTGCTACATGCAATGCAGTGTCACCTGTCCTCGTTATTTTGGCAGTGTGAGCCTGCTTCTTGTTCTTGTACATTTCAACTACTTTCTCCCATTTGCCTTGCATGCAAAGTTTGAACAAACGCTTGTTTGTTTTTTCCATCTCCTTGTTGCTCATCACTCTATCTTCTACAATCGCTGATTCATCACTCTGACTAGCTTCTGTGATTTCCATCATTGATTCGTCACTCTGAGTGTTGCAAAAAATGGACCACTTTTTATATAACATGCATGCTTCTTGCTTCCACTCAAAGTTATTCCATCAGAAAGCAGCTATACAATGATAAGTATTGTCTTTGTCTCTTTTGACAAGTGTCCCTCTAGATATGCTTCAACTTTCCCCTTCAGTACTCCGTTTTCATATTGGAGTTAGAAAAGAAAATAGACAAAAAAGTTTAAAAAATTCAAAAGATAAACGCTCAACTTACTTTAGCAGACTAATTAAGATTTCGGATTTGGTGGATAGGGCGAGTATCATGTGCTGAGTCTCCTCCAAGCAAACCGTCATATTAATATATTAGACATTCACCTGACAAAAGGAGGTTATATATTACTATACTAATCCGAACAACTTTGCTTTAGTTTATTTAATCATTAACCCTGAATTAAAGATTTTACCAAAGAATAACTAACAGTTCTTACTTCTTAGTATGGTGAAGTAAGCATATGAATCTAGTCTTAGGCAATTTTCGCCTATTCAAGGCTGAGATTAGGAAAATGGACTAGCTAGGTCCAGGTGCGGTATCCATGCTGATCATGAGTTTCCTCCTCTTCAAGCAAAGCCATATATATCTTGTGTTGAAGGAGGTTGTTAAAACTTCGATAACTTGCCTTTTTAATTATTAATTTGGAGTTTAAGTCTTTTTACGGAAGTATATAATTAACATTTGTTAATATGGTTAATCAAGCGTGAGAATCGCTTCTTTACAAATCTCGCTTATTTAATTTTAAGCAAGAGATTAATCGGATAGTGTGTGTGAGTGGGAGTATACGCAGAATTATATTATATATATAGTTCTATGTGGTTAGAAAGCTAAAACATATATGTAATGTAGACATGCAAAAGTACGTAACCTATAAATTTTGTCTAAATCTTGGTTTACAAACGAAATACGAAACAGGTTATTTACTTGAATCATGGCACGTGAAAATCTTCAACAATGAGACACCAAAGGCGTAGATATCTTTAATAAGCAGTGGAAAGCTCAATTAATATGGAGAAATTATAACATGGACATGGACTTAGAGCATTTAGTCGTAATCAATCTCTAGAATTGCAAGAAAATGTTCTTTAACCTTTGTGATAACCTAATTTTTTTTTCAAGAATTGAGTTGATCATTACATTCATGGAGTAAGATGATAAATTATTTTGGTTAATTCACTTACTTTGATATGTTATATACATCAAATGAATTCGTTCCTTAATTTTTGTATTTTATTTTTCTTAAGTAGGTTTCTTAAGAAAGAAAAATTTTGTAGTGAGTTGCTACAAGTAAATGCTTCTTAAGGTGTAAAAAGTGATATCTTTAATAGTGTAGAAGTATATTGCATGTGATATTGTGATTGTAAAACTTTTAATATTAAAGATTAGTGAAAAATCTTAATCGAGTTGATTGGATGAGACTAGATGTGTATGTCATAAGTAGATGTGATTGAACCAGTATAAATTAGCTATGAATTTTTCTCTCTACCTACAGTTGACTTTACATTCTTGCAATTCTGGTTTTATGCTTGTTGTTATGTGGCATAAACATTACATATAGAATTGAGTAAATTTAAACTTGCATTAAATATGAACTTAGTATCCTATATTCAGGTATAGATCAATATACTTTTTTGGAAAGATTTAGAAAAGTTTTTCAAAACTAAGAAAGCTGCGCAAGAAATCTTTAAGCTACCAATTCAATGCTCTAGGTTAGGCCATCTTTTCCAACATCTTTGATCTTTCGTGTTTCTTGGTTGTTTGAACTTAAGAGAGGTAAGGGAAGCTTACATATTCTTCTATGTATTTTGCATGCAGAACTGGGGTCTAAAATACATTATATTGATTGTCAAAATTTTCATTGGATGCTTGGTTGAGTTAGATGAAGTGGGATGGATTTTATTACATTTTTGTTAAGCATGATTGTGGTTGATGAGTTCTTTGATTTTTAGAATTTTATTGTTTGCATGTTATTTTTGTGGTTGGAATCATGTTCTATAATGATGATTATATGAGTTTACTGGTTTATAATTGAGTTTGGAGTTAATAGATGAGTTAAGGGTGAATTTTGGTGGTTTGGGAAGTTCAAAATTTCTGAGTTTCATGAAGTGTAAACCCTACACCTACACTCGCCCTGGTAAAAAAAATGTCATGTTGGGCGCGATGAAGTTGGAATCAATTTTCATGGTCTTCATAAAAGTTATAATCTTGGATATTAAATTTCCAATGGCATTTGAAACACCCAAAAATGAGGTTTAGAACTCAATTTATAACCTTTTTAGTGAACAAAAGTCAAGTTGTTAACTTTTACACATGGACTGTTGCAATTTGAAGTTTTCAGCATAATAGATGATGGAATCAAAATTTGGGGTCTGCATATATAAAAGTTGTAGATAATATTTTTATCTTTCATGAGATAAAGATGAACTTGTTTTGGTTGGTATAACCAGTTGTGTTGTGTTATGTTGAATTGTTGTTGTATGCTAGTTGATGATTACATGTTGAAAATGTTATATGTTACTTTTCTTATAACATAACAATAAATGATATGCTGAGATATTAAATGTTGAAATAGAATGAATTGTTGATATTTAAAAGATGTTAAATGATTATAATTGATGATGAGTACTATTGATGTTGAGTTGTATATTGTTGATTAATATGATGAAAGTTGAAAATTGTAAAGTTGTATGAGGTATAAAGTGGTAAAGTTGTGGACATGTAATTGAGATACATGTCTAAGTTGGTAAACTTCCATCTATGGTCTATGTGGTTTTAGTATGAAAGTAGTCGAATCATATCTTAGTTGAATGACTAACCGAGTAAAATACAAAATTAGGGGTTAAAATCCCTAACCTAATATTGGAGGATTGTGGTATTTGGAGGGTAGTTGGTGAACTAATCACATAGGTAGCTTAGTTAAGCTAACTAATGTCGTGGTGGACCTATACCCAAACTATTCAACTTTGACATAGTACCATACTTCACCGTTTAAGTGACGAAACTTAAGAAATCAATCTAAATTTTGCTAGTCGTTGTTTTTAGCCACACTGTCAGCTATATCTTTTACCAGTGTCAACCGTTACTTTTGATTTTATATCAGTCATTGTGATTCAGTAGGTCAAGTCACTTAAACTACTCGCCTTAATTGTAGGAGATCTTCATAAGTTGATACGTATGACAATGCATTAGTTATTTAAATTTGTTATACTGAAATTGTCATACATGTTGTAAGTTATACTAGTAGTTGAAAGTTGAGATATTGGTGCTGGTTAAGTTATTAAGTTATTTAGTTATTTTAGTTGATTAAGAGAATTATATTGCGATGTTGAATGTTGGACATGTTGCTAAGTTGTTATTGTTGAAAGTTGTTTGATGGTTAAGTTGTGAATTATACTTTTAAGCTATATGTTAATTATCTATTATTGATATTATGTATTTTTTTTCGTAAGCTTACCTTTCTTTTTCCTTATGATTAGAACTACCATAACCATACTTGATATGCGAGCAGAACAAAATTAGATATGTTGTTTGGAGCTTTATTAAGTTGTCGGAGGCGGTATGTTTTTGTTAATCCCACTAGAGGGGATATCTATTTTTTTTTTTTGTTAGACTTTGACTGAAATTCTAGCCTTACTTCTAGTCTTTGAACTTGAGTTGTATAAAGTTTATGTTCACATTTTCTTTTAAGTTATGTACCTCTGACATATTCTATTATGCATAATTAGTCTATATTTCTACATGTGTTCACTTAGATGTTATATGTTTAGATTTTGATAATTGTCTTTTTCGTTGATACACGAACCGTTACAATAAACACCTCTAAATATTGTACTTACTATTACTTTCTTAGTTTATTTTTAATTTTCATTTTTTAAAATTATTTTTATTTATTTGTCATTTTTAAAGTTTAAGACAATTTTTTTTTATCATTATACTTTTTATCTCACTTTTAATTAATTTATACATCGATAATTAATATACATGTATTACAAAGCAAAAATGGAAGGAGTATAATATAAAAAAAATTAAAATCATTTCATGAAAAATTGACAATTTTATTACTTTCCTTAATTTATGTATAACAAACTTAAATGACTATTAAAAATGAATGAAGGTAATAGTAATTAAATATCTATGAGAATAATAATACTAATAGATAATATTTCCTTCGTCTTAAAATAAGTGTTATCTTATGTATCTATACATATATTAAGAAAAATTAATAACTAAATTAAAAAGAATAATAATTTTACAAAATTAGCTATATTATTAATTTTCTTTGCTAATTTAACACAAGAATAACTTTTAAAATGGAAAAAAAAATTAATATTATATTAAAAATATGTTTATTTAGAGACTTATTTTTTCTTCTTGCATAATTGTCGGACAGAAAGAGTATATATTTGTTGAAAAACCCATCCAAATATCTAATTTAATGTATGTATGTGCAAAAGAGGTGGATTCAAAGAAATTTGTCTCTGAAAAACTTGACACTAAAAAACTCAATTAACATAATGAAATATAAGTGAAGAGTGTTTTAGTGAATTATGATTGTAATTATGTATAATTGATAGCATCTTGTAATTATAGAAACAAAATATTTACAAATATACAATACATGGTATAGCTTAAGAAAGGGTCAGAATCTGAATGGAGCTGCCAACTTGGATCCATGAAGACGACGACGTTTTCCTGGACGCGTTTCACCCCTGCCCCTCCGAGGACACGCCGGACCCTCTTGATTCCGCTTCCACGCTTTCGGATCCTCGCCCCCAACCCAACCCGCACTCTCCGGCGACCACAATCCGCCGCCGATCACTTCGTCGCGGTTTTCCGGCTACTCAATCCCCAGATTCGAGTATCGAGAGCAATTTGATCGATGCCGATTCGGGAAGAGTATTCCGGTACCGGCCGAGGCACAGAAATCTCAATAAATACGAGAATTCTGAGGAGAAACCCGATTCGGAAGAAGCGCAACGCATCATTGCCTCGAAAGAAGACAACTGCGAGGGCTCCACCGTAACTTCAGCTGCCAGAGACGACGCAGCCGGCTATTCCGTTGACTCGGCGCCGCGACTCAGTGACTCGTCTTCGAGTCTCCTCGAACTCACCACGGGGTTGGTGATTAACTTATTAGGGTTTCAGATGAGGTTAATGTTCATGTTTGTGACTTACCCGTTGTTGTTCATGTTTCATTTGTGCATGTTTTTCATGGATCCTTTGGGGACAACGAGGAGGGGCAAGGATTTCTTGATAGGGATTTTGAGCAGAGTTTATGGTTTTGCGTATTCGTGCATTAGGCCTTATGTTAATAGTTGGTTTAAGGAGGACGAGTCGATTTGGAGCGTGGCATTTCGGTTTGGGTGGGGATTCTTGTGGTCAATCTACGTTTGTTGCGTTTTGTTTGGTTTGCTTGTTTCGTCGTTTGTGTTTAGTGGGTTTTTGATGAAGTGCTTGGTGGAGAAGCCTATTCATATGAGGGGGGTTTTGAACTTTGATTATACTAAGCATAGTCCTGTGGCGTATGTGCCCGTAATGTCGTGTGCTGGTGCTGTTGGTGGGAGAGGTTCTGGGAATAATGTTGATGCTCGTAAGTGGGTGGGGGAACGGGTTATACCTTCTAAGCACAAGGTGCAACTCACTATTTCGTTGAGAGTGCCAGAGTCAGGATACAACAGAAACCTTGGGATCTTTCAGGTGCTTATATATGATATATTCACTTCAATGTAAACAGAAAACTTCCTTTACTCTGTTCTTGTGTAGTTTTACTTGTTCAACAGTTTTTCTGAATTAGATTGATAGATAGATAGAGTGTAAACTGATTTATGGTGGTACTTGTTGTCCACTTACTGCAGTTGAGATTACACACATGAAACTATGCAAGGTTGCTTGCTATTGTGGTGATATGTTACTTCTGGGCTTAAACCTTATAAGTTGCTTATAGATTAAAAGGAAAAGAAAGGGAGAAATAGACTTACACTGTGTTTAAAACATGTTTCTTTTGGCTCTTTGAAATGGTTATTCAGTGATGAATTTTGTCATTTAATTGTATGAAATTTTGTTTATGATTTATGGCTACATGGAAGGATGTTGATTCTCTAATGAAACATTATACTCTATATCGGTAGAATAGGGACCTCTGTTGGGGAATATGCTATTTGTGGCCACTTGTTTTGCCTTTTATAGATGGTTTTGCATGGAAACTTATTTTAAATGGTTTGAAGCAACAGAAGTTATGTTAGTGAGACTCAATAATTTCGCAGAGGACTTTGGATGATAGTTCAACTTTTGGGTTAAGTGGTTTTTGGAATGTTATTTCAGTTCCTACTATGGTTGTATGGCTTAGGTTTTGTAAAATAATTCTTATATTTTTATTAGGCAAAGAATGGATTTGATTGTACTTCTTTCATGACCGTTGAGTGCTGATTATGATTTATTCAAACATATTAGTGCATGCTGTAAAATTATTATTGCTTTGTAATTTGTATCATACTTGAGTTAGATAAGTGGAAATGCTGATGATGATTAAAGATTTTACAGTTTGTAGTTTCCTGTTGTTTGCTTTTGAGTGTCTTTCATTGATTTCTGTTCTTTTTTAGATCAGGGTAGATTTCCTATTGTCTAATGGTAAAGCTATTGCAAGCTCAAGTCAACCTTGCATGTTAAGATTCAGAAGTGAGCCTATTCGCCTAGTCACAACTCTGCTCAAGATTGCTCCTCTTGTTACTGGCTACATATCCGAAACACAGACTCTGAATGTGAAGATGAGAGGTTTCGTAGAAAGAGATGCTCCTACTTCGTGCTTGAAAGTGACACTTGAGCAACGAGCAGAATATCAACCAGGTGCAGGCATTCCTGAAATA